TCTCCCCACTTTCATTTCTGCTTCGCAGTGGATGGTTTGGGATGCTTCTACCCATCTGGAAAGCCTGTGTGGTTTTCAAAACCAGTGCTTTGAAAACAGAGATGAGATCTGTCTGTTTCTCTACTAGTTTGTGAGCCCCTTGGGGTCAGGACCATGTCTTATTTGATGTTGAATTCCTGGCAGGGCTTTACAGAAACTCAAACAACACCCCTTCTTACCCTGAAGAAGCTTCCAGGCTGGGGCGGAGGAGGGGGGACAGACAGAAGAGCTTTGCATTCTCAAAACAGAGGTAAGCTCAATGACAGGAAGGAGGAAGGGAGGGAGGAATCAGGAGATTGGGCCAACTATAAACTTTACTGCCACCTTTGAAAAACTTAAGGAAAGGAAGCCAAAAAAAAAAAAAAATTCAACTACTTAATTAATCCTGATACCCTAAAGCACTGACAAACAAAACCGATGCCCTGAAAAAGTTTGGCAGTTTCTTCAAAGGTAAAGAAAAATAATTCTCCCAACTATTCTGTCGGCCCTTTAACCTTTTTTGAAGTTTTACATAAAGTGTTTTTCTTTAAAGAAACTGAAAAAAAAAAAAAAAAAAGTTAAATGTAAACACACCGTATGACCCCATGATTTCACTCCTAGGAATCTACCCAAGAGAAACAAAAACGTATGTCCACACAAACACATGTACAGGACTGTCCACAGAGGTGTTATTCATAAGAGCCCCACACTGGAGACAACTCAAGTGTCCATCAACGGATGCATGGTCAAAGAGTGGTGTGGGTCCGTCCAGTGAGGTACCGATCAACAATCAAAAGAACAAAGTACTGACCCATGCTATGGCATGGATGGACTGTGAAAACATGGCAAGTGAAAGCAGCCATACTCAAAAGACCACATATTATATGAGTCCATTTCTATGCAGTTTCCAGAAACAACAAATTTATAGGGTCAGGAGATGGATCAGTGATTGCGGAGGGCTGGGAGTGGGAGCAGAGATTAACTATAAACAGACACAAGGGAACGTTGTCAGGTGATGACGATGTTCTGAAACAGGATTATGGTGACGGTTGTACAACTTGGTAAATTTACTAAGGCACGCATATTGTACCTTAATAAAGTTGCTATAAAAACAAAAAACCCTGGTGCCAATCCATTCTTCTATCCATAGCTAAGAAATAACGCATGAGAGGAAATGAGGGTGATAGCCCCTCGCAGAGTGCAGGTGTTGTTGCAGTAACATATCTGGTGGGACTTCCCTGTGTTCACTTTTGGAGCCCATCCAGTTCTAAAATCTAGCAGTAGTTGGCTTTTTCTGGGCATCACTATTCTAAGAGGACAATACTAATACCATCCCCGTTTTACAGATGAGAAAAAGGATCAGAAAGGGAAAGCAGCTCACTCAAGACCCACAGCTACCAAGTGGGAGAGCTGGGACTGGAACCCAGGCCTGCCTGATTCTGGAAGCTGTGTTCTTTGCCCCTTGCACCCTATCCCCATCCCCCGTGCCACCCCCCTCCCACCCAGCTATCCATTCCCCAGTGCCTCTTTGGCCCCTGGGACAAAAGCATAGCACTGCTTGGGCAAAGCTGAGCAAGGATGCTAAGCTTCCTCATCTCACTATAGCAAATACTACCTTTCACTCAGGTCTCCAGCACCAGGGCTCCCAGGAGCGCAACCCCCTCCGCCCGGCCCAGGCCCACTAAGGAAGAAAGGCCCTGATTTACGTAAGCCGCATATTTTGGTCAAGCAACACTGAGCAGGTGCTAACATCAGTTTCCGTCTGGAGCACATAGTTCCTGAAGCCTGTCTGGGGTGTCCTGGGGTTCAGCAAAGATGAGCCAACAACCAGGGATAGAGATGACCTCACGTTCAGCTACAAGGCCTGCCCAGATGAATTTCTTGCTTGAGCTTTCCATCAGAGCTACGAGATTCCAGGGAGCGTTCCACACAGGGGCCCGACAATGCCGCCCCGTCTGCCTGATGCAGTGGCACACCCCGGCCTGGCAGGGAGCTGGCAGCAGCCTCCTGACCTCCAGTTTGTGGCAGACAGAGCTCATTGTTCTCCTCTCCCTCTGTGTACCATCTGCTGTTCTGCTTCTTCCAGGCCGAGGCCGGAAGAGGCTGGGCAGCAGTTTGAGTTTTCCAAAGCCTGTCCGGCAAGGCTGAGGAGGCCTGGAGTGCTCCTGTCACTGGAGGACGTGGGCCCCACGTGGGTGCAGCAAGACAGAGCATCTCCTCTCCCCATGCCCCTTCCACCCCAGGCACGCTGATCTCCTCAGACAAGCCAGGTGCCTGTCCTCCTGGCTTTGCAAGTACTGTCCTCTCTCCCTGGAACACTGTTCCCTAGTTACCAGTCTTGCCCCCTCCCCTCCCCACCTTCTCTAAGTCTTTGCTCAAATGTCACCTTCTCAGTGAGGCCTCCCCTAACTACCCCGTTTACAAATTGCAACCCCTGACCCCAGCACGCCCTTCCCTGGTCCAGCTCCGTTTCTCTCCAGGGCACCCATTACCATCTAACACACTATGTGTTTGACTTCTTTGTCTGTCTCCCCTCCCCCCCAACCCTGCCCGATGTAAGTGCTACAAGGGAAGGGAGTTCGGCTTGTCTAGAGCTCTCTCTGCAGTGCCTAGAACAGAGCCTGGCTCGTACTGAGCAGTAATCCGCATCTCACGAAGGAGCGCGCTTCCCCACCACGGCCCAGCCTCTGAACGGCATCTCTACAGCTACTGCCCAATGCCAGATTATGTCAGAGACCAGCTGGGACGTCTCAAGCCCGCTCAGAGGTGACATGAGTCAGCCTAGGAGAAACGGATGAGGAGCCGGTCAACACGACACACGAAGGAGGCGGCAGCGCTGAGACCCGTCCCGTGCCTCCCCGACATGCCTGCCGAAAGCCACAGCGTGGGTACCTGTAGCTGCTTGTCCGTTCTGTCATGCTTCCTGAGCCCTCTTCTGGGGCGGCCCTCTGAAGTCGGGGTTGGGTGACACCGCTGGATGGAACATAAGGAAGGTAGCTCAGGGGCCAGGGAAGAACTAGGTGGACATAGGTCCTGGGACACCCCGTCAATGCCCAGGAGCTCTCGAGATGTGGCACTGGAAGGCTATGGAAAGGATGAAGCCCAGACAGGTGAGAGGACACTTGGCCATCCACGGCCTGAACCTGACTCTTGGCCAGGCTTAGCTCATAGGACCTCGAGCTGCTCCTCACCTAGGTCTGTGGGCTTTATCCTTACCTCCCTGGGGCCAGGACTTTGGAGCTCAGCCACATTGAGAGGCTTCACACCCTCTGCTCTGTGGTCACTCCATGCAAAGAAGGGATGCCTGGTCTAGGAGGAGGAGGGCAGCGGCAGGCAGCTTCTCCCAGCACGCTGCTAATTCTGCCTATACGCTAGACTACCTGCCCCAGCTGGAGGCAGCAGCAGATTTCTTTTAACACAAATGTTAAAAGTACGGTGGCGTCAGATACCTTGGTTTTGAGTTCCAGCCCTGCCACTAAGTAGCTGGATAATCTTGGGCAGTCTCTTTACATCTCGGAGCCTCAGTTTCCTTATCTATAAAATGGGATAACATCTGTGTTTCGCTGGGTGGTTGTGAGGATCATGCTTATGTGTTGAGCCCAGTGCCTGGCATGTGGTGAGGGCTCAGTACATGGGAGACCTTGTTGCTGTCGCTATCATAAAATAAAGGGAGGAAGGAAGTCAACCCCTAGCCACCTGCTCAGGCTGGCCGCAGACCTCCCAAGTGTATCAGAGTCCTGAGGCAGCTGAACTGACTGGTAGTTTAAGGTACTAGAAATACCTTTCTCCTTTGGGTTTCAGAATGGTGCTCAAGAAAAACCAGAGTGGGCAGAAACTTCTCAGTGACCACGGGAATTTTTCCAAAGGGGGGCTGTCAGGGCTAAGAGTGTGACTCTAGAAAGGAAGGAAGAGGGGCTCCAGAGCCACCAAATCCCTGAGTTAATAATTAATAGCCGTGCAGTCTCTTTGCCGGCTCTGGAGCCCTCCTGGCTCACTGGGGAAGGGCACTAGTAGTCATACAAAAATAACCCCCCAGTGGGTTTTTGAAGTGTTGAGCCTCTTGGTTTTCTGAATTTTAATGAAGGGCTTTCCAGGCAGGATAAGAACAGCACTCAGCTCTCCCCATGGCCACGGAGTGGGGCTTAGTCAGCGGCTGCTAGCCTGCATGGGCCGGATCCAAAGTGGCATCTAGGAGAGGAGGGCAGGGAGACGTCCCTGTCCTCAGATGAGAGGTCTTGGGGGAGAAAGCGAGAAAAACAAAAACAAAAGATGTCTCTGTTTAGAAAGAAGGTTGGGCTCTGCTCCAGATAATGGCACAGTTTGGAAACAGGCAGCCATGATGCTTGGGGGAGCAATGGAGACAAGCAGCTATGTCTCTGAAAGGTCAGAGGGAGTCCCAGGCTCCCTGAGAGAGTGCTTCTGTGGAATGCTCGGGGCTGCCAAGCTGGCCCCTGCTAATGAGAACCAGCAGCGAGGCTTTGGAAACCCGGGGCGGAAGGGAAGGGCACGTCTTGGGAGCCCCAGGCATGGGCTGTGAGAACAAAGGAGAGAGGGGGTGCTGTCAGAAAAGCCCCCAAACCCCGCTGTGAGGAACGGGTCACCTTATCACACCCACCTCTTGCTGTCTCCTCAGCTAAGCTGCCTGGCAGCATGAAGGAGACAGTGCAACTTGGCTGACGTAACCGGACGTGCGGAGCGAGAGCAGGTGCCAGGCCCTCCCCGGGCCCCAGCAGGTAGCAGCTTACAACCTCCCGGACCCCTGCCTCCAGGTGCTTACAAGTAGACGGATGCTCCAGGGAAACGCCGTGGCCTCTGTGAACCGAACAACGTTCAGGAGGAGCGCTGTTCCTCTCCCCCTGAGTCTAGCTCTCCCTCACGCTCTTCAACAGCGGGGAGCGTCCCTGCCAGACTGTTTAAAAGCCGCCCTCCTTCACTCTTGATGAATCTTTCCAAGAGGCTGCTGGAAAGAAATGGAAGAGATGGCCACAGAATAAAGTAATTTATTACAACGAATGCTCCAATGTGGTCTACTGAAAACAGTATTTTTATTACAAAATATTCCATTAAAAAATTCTAAGCTGCTTGCAATCTTCTTTAGGTTTAGGCTTATGGCATTTTTTTCAAGTCCAAAGCAGAAATTACTCTGTGCGGGGAGAGCAGGCTGTTGACCCCCCAGGGCTCAGGGATGCACGGGTTGTCCCACAGGCTCCTCCCGCAGCAGGTCCCACTCGGTGAGTAGCTCGGAGGACACCTCAGTGTACAGATGGTCCCAGTCCCAGCTGATGTCATCCTGCCAGGAGAGGTATCATTGGGTCAGAGGAAGGAAGGCCTTTTCCCTCCCTCACAGCCAACCTCCCCCGCACCTGGCCCCCCACTGCCCCACCGGCCCTAGGAAGGCAGAGCTCATGCTGGGGAGCCAGCTGGCCACAGGAACGACGCAGCCCGGAGGAGGAGCTCCTGTGGCTACTTACCTCTCGGACCTCATGCTCTGGTGCAAGGACTTTGGTGAGTAGCTTCAGGTCGATCTCTCCATCCTGTGAATGCAAACCAACCAACCAACCAATCAACCCACCAGCTTGTGCACCCCAGGGGGGTCCTCCGGACAATGATCTCTTGCAAACTGGGTCAGGGTGGGTGTGGTGGGACTTCCCAACCCAGACCTGCAGAAATGCCTTAAAAAGAGTGAAAATGTGAGTGGACCGCACAGCCATTGAGAGAGGAGGGAACACCACAACATTCGACAGGTTGGACATTCTTTGCAGGGAGGTCATCACCAAGAGGGCAGGGCGTGACAGCGACAGAGCTATAGGACCACAGTGTCTACCCATGCCAGCAGGCAGCCATGGACGCATGTGGGAGCCTGGCCCCCGGAGACACTGGGGTAGGCTAGGTCTAGGGACAACGGAATACCCGAGAATGATGGCTCCGGCAAAGGGACTGTTGCCAGGTGGCCTCAGAGACCCGTGGAAGAGAGGCTGCCCAGAGCCTGCCCTCTCTGGGCAGAAGCTGTTCTACTCACCAAGGTCTGGAAGGCTGCGTACTTCATGAGGTCATTGTCCAGGTCACGGAAGGTCATCACCCGGTTTACCTGGATGCTGTAGGAAAGAGAGGGGGTGAGGGGGAACCCCAGGCAGGACCAGTTCCAGGAGAGCCGCGGGGCCACCATCCTCAGAGCCTCCTAGGTAGCTGGGAAGGACCAAAATGGGAAGAACATGCCTAGTAACACGGGAACCCTGGCACGGAACCCATCACCAGAAATACCTGCTCTCCACTCAGGGGGCAGCACCACTGTACATGGGATTTGGAATGTATTAATTCCCATGTTCTCTGCCTCCCACTAACTCCATACTTAATGTACCTGGGAGGGGCGGCCACCTGCAAAGCAAAGTCTTCTTCCTGTACTTCTTCCAGATCCGGAATAACAGGAATGTCTGCAAGGAGAGGAGGAGGCAAAACAGTGAGCAGCACACACAGGGAGGGCTCTTGCCCACTTCTCCGTGTATTACTTGTCGCCTGCAATGAGCCTGCTGTGGGTATGCGGGCCGGGGGGACAATGCGCACTCGGACACGGTCCCTGGCCTCCAGGGGTTCCCGGTCTCGGGCTGTGTGGTGCTGAGGCACGAAGTCAAAGGCAGACTTCAAAATTTCTGAATCCCAGGCCCTGCCCCAGCACCTGCTGGATGAGAACCTCCTGGGTGGGGCTCAGGATTCTGTATTTTTTCCTAAGATTTCTTTGGTGATCCTGATGCACGCTCCAGGTCAGGAGCCCTTGGGAGTGGCTCTCCCCAGGAGAAATGTAAAGAAACGAGGAGAGAGTCCCAGACTGGGCTGGGGCAACTTTGTGTTGGAGGAGCGGGTGAATGAGCCTGGCCCGGCCAGAGACAGAGGAATGGACAGCACAGCGTCGTGGCTCGGCGTCACGATGGGCGACTGCCTCACGACCAAGGTCCACACGTGCATTAGCTCATCGGAACCCCCGCAAGTGTCACAGCCGTCATGGCCCTGAGCCTGACTCTGAGGGACACTTGACACCTGCTGATATGACCGGGCTCCCCAGCGGTGTCCCTGGGCTGTCTCCACTTGCCAGGTCTGGTATACTAAACCATGCTGATTCTAAAGATGACAGTCTCTCTTCTGGTGTCACAGAGATTTCCCTTCTCCAAACCCTCCATATGAGACAGACATCCAGACACAGGAGGACACATGAGGCCACTTCTCTCATCAGTTGAACGAAGTCATGCCGAGAGAGAGCAACGTAACAGTGGTGACTTGCTGGGAAGAGCCCATCTTGTCATGGGGACAACTCAACACCCTAAAGAAGCATTTCCTTTTCCAAATGAGCATCACTGGCCAGAGGAGGGGTTTTGTTTGTTTTAACCAGTCGGAGCCAGAAAAAAGGCCAAGTGGAGAGATGCAATCCTAGAATTCCCAATCCAACTGCAAACAATAAAGGGGGGAAACATCCCAGAGAGGACAGAATAGTGAAGAAACCCTTCATTTTTGCTTCCATGGATTGAATTCAATTTTATTTTTTAAAAGAGATGCAGCATCGTTCCAAGAACAGCTGGGAAGACCCTTGCCTCTTTCAGGCTATTCATTCTTTAGGGTTTGCCATGACTCTAGTCCACCTGAGCCCCAGCATAGAAATGTCAATGCCAGGCCTGGTGCCTTTATCACTGCTTCTGACTACGGAGTTACAGATGCTGAACCTGGAAAGAGAGGAAGTGTGCGAGGGAGAGACAGAGACACAGAAAATAAGACTGAGAGAGAAAGAGGGTGATTAAAAGGATAAAAAGGGGTTTAGAAAAGAAATGGCTGTAGGGGAAATAAAGAACACTCTCATGCCACCCCCAAAATAATGAACCACATTCAGCCAGTCCTCTGTCCAGACAGCAGCTGTGCAGAGCTCAGAGTCTCTCTCTCCGTCCTACCGGGAAATGAGAGATGGAGTTCTCTGAGATTCTATCTCTTATGCTAATAGGAATTTAGCTTTCTTGTTCACTCCGGCTCTGCGTGATTAATACCATCCATGGTGAGAGCTGCTGACAGTACTGTCCCTGAGCCCAGGCCAAGCGGGGCTCCCAGGCTGCAGAGACAGTGCCGAGCCTGCGGCCGGGCAGGGAGGAAGCTGGCTGTGCCATGCGCCATCAGCACTGTGACAGTTTTGGAGGGGGCCAGTTATCAGCACTGTGACAGTTTTGGAGGGGGCCAGTTATCGGCTCCCCGCTCTCCTCGGGTGTGGAGTCCAGCCTGAGATGAATATTCAGAAGGTGGTAAGAGGAGGCCCCATGCTGGGTTTAGGGCTCAGGACGGGGTCTTCCCAAAGTCCCCTTTCCCTCCACAGCGCTAGCATTTGGGTCCTGTCAACTCTGCCCAGCTTCCCCCAGTTCTGAGGAACTGCACTTCTGCCCAATGTCCACTCGGACTCCCCGCAGGCTTCGCTCTTCAGCCCCACCCCCCTCCTCCAAATGCGCACAAAGGAGTGTGGGGCTGGCCCATCTGTGACAGATCAGAGGTCAGCCCGGGCCTTGACAAAGGGGCCTCTCAGAGTGGCACTGGTGAGGCTGGCCACACAGTGGGATTTCTCTCTAATTGGAAGCCTGGTGCCTAACGGAACCCGGTGAACCGCCTGAGTGGGACAGAGCCAGCGATGACAGCCAGGCCAAGGCGAGCTGGAACATTCCGGTGCAGTGACAGCTTGCGCCATCGCAGCAGAGTGGGGCCATCCAACTCCCAGCCCCTGTGGAACAGGTGGCCGAGGAGCAGGTTTTGGGTAAACTTCAAAGAAGTTCACAATTTTACAGTTCCTGATTTCCTACCACAGACAAGGGCTTATGTATACGTAATCTGTTCTTGGAAATTTCTGTCCTGCCTCTCTCTCCTTCCCACCTTCCCCCTGCCACATACATACACACACACACACACACACACACATCATGAACAAACCTAGAAAAAGAAAACACACACACACACACATCATGAACAAACCTAGAAAAAGAAAACAGACCTGAGAAATCTCCTTCTTCACAAGACTGCCTACATGGACTTCTCAGTTACGGCTCCTTGGCCTGCAAGTCTGGACCGGGGACCCAGTCTGATTCAGGATGTCAAACTGAACTCTCAGAATGTTACGAATGCAACGCTGTTTGTCAACTATGCTCCCGTAAAAAAAAAAAATTAAATTAAATTAAATAGAAAGCACGTGATTTTAACGGACAGTAAGAAGAATACAGAGGTTTGGGCGCCTGGGTGGCTCAGTTGGTTAAGCGACTGCCTTCGGCTCAGGTCACGATCCTGGAGTCCCGGGATCGAGTCCCGCGTCGGGCTCCCTGCTCAGCAGGGAGTCTGCTTCTCCCTCTGACCCTCTTCCCTCTCTTGCTATCTGTCTCTCATTCTCTCTTTCTCAAATAAATAAATAAAATCTTAAAAAAAAAAATGAGAAGAATACAGAGGTTTGCTCTAGCGCTGCTGAAAAGCTACCGCTATTTTAAAAAATTTAATAGTTCCATGAACTTTACTCTCATTTTGTTCCGTGCTACCAAGAGGAAGAAGAACAGGAACAGAAACAGTGAGCGGGTTAATTAAATGGGTAGGATGCCCATGCCATGGTTAAGGGCACAGGCTCGGGAGGCAGGGTGGCTGGCTTTCAACCCCGGCTTCCCCATGTACCAGCTGTGTGACTTTAGCCTCTCTGTGCCTCAGCTGCTTCATCTGTAAAATGGGGATCATAATTACACCCACCTCATATGGTCATTATAAGTATTAAGTGCAATCATCTTTATAAAATACTCATCACTGTGCTCAGTACATAATTAGCGGATAGAGTGTTGAGCCTGGAGAGAAACCAAATGGCGCTACCTCCATTTTCTCATTTACTCTCGCCCATTTTGCAGGCGAGAACAGTGAGGCTCAGCAAGAAGCAGCAGCTTCATGAGCTGAGATCATCAATAACGGACAGTACCAGGCTTCCAGCTCTGTCCGACCATAACCCGTGAGCTCATCCTCATCCACTTGTGCTTTCTTTGCAGAGGGATGAGCCTGGACAGCTGTTACTCTGCATGAGACTCATCGTCCTTGGTTCTGGCTACTTCTCTTGATTCCAATCACCACAAATAAGCTAAGTCTCTCCCTCAGCCTACACCCCCACTCACTACTTCACTACAGCAAGGCCACATGGAACAGAAGGAAAGAGTGCACCAGCGCTGGAGCCCTGGGGCCTCATCCCCGCCGCACCTGTCTTACCAAACTGGCCCCTGGAGGTGACTGAGCACATTGAATGGTCTCAGGAAAGGGGAGCAAGGCAGGAGGGTTCTGATGCCTCCAGTGCCACAGGAGTGGTGCCCTCCTCCTCCACCTCTGCTCTGTAGGCAGGCAGCGCCTCCTCACTCAGCCCCCCGCCCCTCCCCCCACAGCTCGCCATCATATGCTTCTCTCTTTCCCAGCTCCGACCCCTTCAACTCCACAGGTTTTCTTTGCTCTTTGTGCTTGCTCCCTGCCTCTTCTGTTAGCCATCTCTCCTGCTGGCTCAACCTGCGTGTCGGCCCTGTGTGTCACCCGGTTAGCCACACGGTGGGGAAACTGCATTTGCTTGCTTCTTCGTTCATTCACCCATCCATTCATTCAAGGAGTGCTGATGGAGCGTCTGCTACCTGAAGGTGCAATGTCCAGGGTGCCAGGAACAAGAGAAAAGAAAACACATTCCTTGTCTTCACGGAGCACTGGAAAACAAGAGGGCTGAAACAACTAACCATCTCATATTTTTAAAGGTAAAATATCATGTGTGGTCGTAATTCAAATGCTACAGAAAAGCTTAAAGTGAAAAATTTCCTCTTCTTCTATGAGCCCCAGTCTGTCTCCCTAGAGGTGCTATTAACAATTTCTTGTATATATTCACTGAAAAGAATGCATGCATACTGCAGCACTTATGTCCTTTAGAGGGTATCTACAAATGGGATCACTTTATACATGTACTCTTCTGCAACTTGCCCCCTCTTTCCTTATCAATATACTGATAGATCTTATTCTTTTAAACGACCATCTAGTATCCTATTGAACGGGTGCCCCATAATGCACTTAATCCGGTTCAGAGAAGACCTCATTTAGAACTTTGGAAGGTGCGGTGGGGAGTTGGGAAAGGTCACTGAATTAGGGACAATGCAACTCAAAGCCGAAGGATAGACAGGATTAAATCAGGCAGGGATGGCCTTTGATTTCTGGAGTGCCCCCCTCCCCCATATCACTCCACTTGCGAGAAGTAACTCACAAAACTGAAGAAACCGGAGGAAGGCCAGTAGGGTCGGCACCCGGGCCCAGGGAAGAGTGGCATGGGGTGAGGCAGGAGAGAGGGCGCCTGGGGGCAGGTGAGGAAGGTCCTGCATCAACCAGCCAGGAAACATGGGTTGGGTGCCTGCTCTACACAAGACCCCTTCTG